CGCGAACACCAACCTCGTACTTTATTCTTGGAGGCAATGCAATGTGGGGACACTAGAGGGCTCTGCCTTACCATATGACCAATGACATCTCAGCGGCAAAACCTTTAAGAGCACGATCTCCACGGCAACGACAAACGGGCATCTCATCCTTGAGCGTGGGAGGGGTGGGGGCTGAGGAGGGAAGCTGGGGGAAGGTGGGGGGACAGTTACAGGTGGGTAGTTTCCAGGTGGGTGGGTGTCACCGAGTTTTGAAATACAGACTGAAATTTCGAGTAGGCTTTGCAGGACTTAGATTTTCCACTTGTTTTCAGAATCGTGTCTTTGGTTGAGCATCCAAAGCTTCTTAAAGCCCGCAGTAACACTGGAAAAAACCAAACCAAAAAAAAAAAAATTCATTACAGTGTGCTGATTACTACATACATGTGCAGAGACATTCTCTTCCTGTCTGGGTATTACTTTGATAATCCAAAATTCAGGTGGAGGTGATGGAGAGATTGTTCTCGTGTTTAGGGTGCATGCGATTTAAAACGATTCCAAGTGGGTGCCCAGCCTCTGTTGATCTGTCCACACTCCACCTGGCCGTCTTCCCTGGTGCCTGGCTATGGCCCTGACCTTCTGCTCTCCCCGCAGCTGGACGGTGCAGTGGCCGGGTGGGTGGCCAGGACACATGCTAGCAGAAGGGAAATTCAGCAACGAATTCTGCTAGTTGAAGTCCTTCCTCTCACCCACCGGCCATTCATGGCTAAATAGTCTGTAAATTCCATTTCAATTTTCTGTTTAACCTAGGAAATTTGCAAGTCTGCTCTAGGCTTTCACGTGGAATGCTATTCCTCTTCTCCCGGCATGACTTCCTAATGGTCGTCAGTAGCTGCAGGCTCATGGCTTCCGGTTTGTAGTAGGCGTTGGTTTGCTCGTTGGCCAGATTCTGGACGTTAACCACGGTGCGCACCTACTGGGCGCTCGCTCTGCGCGGCACACGAGAAGTGTTTCCTGTATGTTAACTCGTGTGACCCTCACCAAGCCCTGCGAGGTAAGGTGCCTTTTCAGTGTTTACTGACTTTAAAACTCTCTCGTTATTAGCTCGAGCTAGAGAATCGTTATTCATATCTCCCGCATCCTTACTTATTTTTGCCTACTTTTTTTTTTTCTTTGATTTTGGAAGAGCATCTTAAAGGCCTCCCGTTATGGTGATGGGGAGATGGGGAAACATCTAGGATGACCCCAGAGGTTTCCACCTTGAACGTTAGGTCGGGAGGGCGGTGAGATGCCCTTCCCTGTGGTGTGCTGGTACTTCAGAGTTCATGCAAGATCTTTCCACCCCTTCAGTTTTACAATCCCTTGCCTTGAAGCGTCGTGTGGATTCGCTTTCTTTTCTTTACTTTTTGTCCTCCTGTTTCTTCCTTCCTACCTTTCTTCTTTCTTCTCCTTCAAGGGTATATACCTATTCGTTGGAAAATGGCCAATTGATTGGATGTTGGTGTAGCTACCTGTCGGTTGTCAGATTTTTTTCCCCTTTCTACCTTTGTTTTTTATATTTTATTTTGAGAGAGTAGAAACGGAAGATCATTTCAGATCAAAACATCGAGAAGGTGATTCACGCATCACACGAGCTACTCGCCCCAGGTGCAGGGCTCGTGTTTGTTTTCTTCTTACAGTTGACAGTTGAACAGTGCAACACAGGATCTTGCTCTAAATACTGGCCTGATTCTACGAATCCATGGGGGGCGTCACGTCCTCGAACGGATGTACTCACGAAAGCCCCACTGTGGAAAAGCCTGAGCTTTGTTCTGGTCATTTATTATATTATGTCCACAAGTAATCTTGTTTGTATCATATGTATGTAGTATATGTGCTATGCAGATCAGTATGTGTATGTATAGTCTAGTTAGTTCATATCTAGTATCTAGTATCTTTTATGTAATATCTAGTATCTCATAGGTAGTATCTAGTATCTCGTATGTAGTATCTAGTATCTTGTATGTAGTATCTAGTATATTGTATGCAGTATCTAATATATTGTATGCAGTATATAGTATCTTGTATGTCATATCTAGTATCTTATATGTAGTATCTAGTATCTTGTATGTAGTATGTAGTATCTTGTTTGTCATATCTGGTATCTTGTATGTAGTATCTAGTATCTTGTATGTAGTATCTAGTATCTTGCATGTAGTATCTAGTATCTTGTTTGTCATATCTGGCATCTTGTATATAGTATCTAGTATCTTGTATGTAGTATCTAGTATCTTGTATGTAGTATCTAGTATATTGTATGCAGTATCTAATATATTGTATGCAGTATATAGTATCTTGTATGTAGTATCTAGTATCTTGTATGTAGTATCTAGTATCTTGTATGTAGTATCTAGTATGTCATATGTCATATCTAGTATCTTGTATGCAGTATCCAGTATCTTGTTTGTCGTATCTAGTATCTCGTATGTAGTATCTAGTATGTCGTATGTCATATCTAGTATCTTGTATCCAGTATCCAGTATCTCTTATCTAGGAGGAAACTAAAAGCTGGTGAGAGAAAATGCAAAGAAGAGTGAGAACCAGGGTGGGACATTCCCGTAGACAGGAAGTGGAGCCATGGTGGGAAGTCCTGTCCCAGGACAAGCTGTGAGGGGGCCAGGCGGGAACGGGAAGCCCCCACCTGCAGGTGTGGTGGCCGCACTGGGCAGGAGCCGCAAATGTCGCCGCCGCCCTGTCCCAACACACGGCTGTCTTCCCTGAGCAGTGGATGAGTGCCTTGTGGCCGCCGTGATGAATGCCCACAAGCTGGGTCACTTAAAGGCAGCAGAGATTTACTCTCCCACAGTTTTGGGGGTGGGAAGTCCACAATCAAGGTGCTGGCCGGGCCGGGCTCCCTCTGAAGGCTCTGGGGCAGGATCCTTCCTGCCTCTTCCGTGGCTGGTGGCCGCATCAATCCCATCTCTGCCTTGTCTGCTGTGTGCGTGCGTGCGTGTGTGTGTGTGTGTGTGTGTGTGGTGTGTGTGTAACCCTCCTCTCCCTTCTCTTATATAAATCTAGCATATAGATGTAGATACTAGACACTACAGGGATTTAGAGCCCATCCCTATAATCCCGCGTGATCTCCTCTTGAGATCCTTAACTCAGCTACACTCTCAAAGACTCTCTTTCCAAATACATCTCCCAGGTCACAGGTCCTATCTTTTGCAGGAACACGGCCACCCTACCCTGCACGCAGTGCACTCATGTATTTTTAAATTCACCCTGTTAGGGTGGGAATTCGTACGTGGGCTGAGAAAGAATTCTCAATGCAAAGATGAGGATATAATGAAGTAAAAAGTTTATTTTGCTTTCTGAGAGAGAGAGAGAGAAAGAAAGAGAGAGATACAATCTCGTGACCTTCACCCAGACAATTCCCTTGAGCCATGTCCTGTGGCACAAACAACGAAAGACGTTGCCCTGCCCCTCCCGACTGCTGGCCTGCGGGCCTAGTTCTAGTTCTCCCAAAGGAGTGCAAGATGTTTTAAAGACACATAAAACCTTTTTGCTGTTTTTTTTTCCCCCCAGCCATTTCTTCTATTACATATTCCCCCTTTTCATACCTATGGGAGGAGGGTGACTACTCTGTTACAATGGGGGGGTGCTTGACAACAGGAACAGGGAGACCTTAAGTGGATGAACTGCCCAGAGTGCACTGGGCTAACGGGCTGCTGCAGAGCCGGGCAGAGGGCCAGGACTGGAGACTCAGGTTTGAGATGCCCTGAAGGAGGGAGGTGGAAGAGAAAGGAGGTGGAGGAAGGGGCCAGCAGAGGGGCTGATGCAGGTGGGTCCCAAGGGGTGAGGTCAGAGGTCAAAGTGGCCTTCCTTAAATAAATGCTGCAGAAAGCACTGAGAACATTCCACAAGGGCTGGAAAGAAGTTGGTGAGGGAAATTAGAAATAGTTTACCCCAAAACATGACATTTGGACATGTGAGATGGACGGAAGAAGCCTCAAGGTCTCTTTGACTTTCCTGCCCCACTCCCAGACTCATTTAAATTCCAAAGGGAACAATTTACCAGTTAATCTCTGTTACCCATCCTGTTCTTCCTCAACAGAAATCTTTTGCAGGACTCCTCTTTCCTCCTCTCATAACCCATTTTACCAGGAAGGCATAGGAGCTTCCTTCCGAGCCCGGCTGGGAGTGGAATCTCCATTTCTGAGGGTTCCCGTGTATACACGTTAAAATAAATTTGATGGGTGTTCTCTTATGAGAAAACGTGCTTTATTGTAAGTCGACTTTTCAGCGAACTTGATGAGGGTGAAGGCCAAGTTTTCCTTCCCTCATCCCGACGTTAGCCTTGGAGGAGGCAGCGTCCCCAGAGAGGCCTGAGGATGGGGAAGGGGCCACTCCCCACACCCTCGGCCACTCCTGCCAGAAAATCTTGTCGGGAGGAGACAGAAGAATGTGAGGACAAGGCTCTATGAACAAATCTCAATGACCCCTACATATATATATATATTTAATAGTCTTCTCTCTTAACTAACTATATGAAGTTTTTGAGTTGTTTCCCAGAGATGGTGGAAGTTCTACAAGATGAAGTTGAGACTCCAAAGGGCCCCGGGCAAGAGAGTCCGGGTGCCAGAGGTCACCACCCCCACGACCTGCCCCAGGGCCTGCCACCTGCCCCATGCACCTGGCTGCTCCTCACAAAGCCCAGGATCTCATTCTCCCGCTCTCCCAAAAGATGTCTGTAGTTCGAATTAAAATTCTTTTCTTCCTTGGCAACCTTTGCTGTCTGGATAATCAGACCTTTGTGTGGTGCGCAACTGGATCTCCTCTGAAACCCCCCTCGAGGTTTCCATAACAACAATAATTAAGAATGATCTGAATTTCTCACCCATGTTGGGATTTTTTTTTTTTTATGCTTTCCAAAGTTTACAACATCAACGCAACGCTGGCTACGTTTTAATGATCGACGTGACAGAATCAAGTTCTCGGGGTGGAGAGGGGCAAGCAGGGAATTAAATTATTAAGAGGTGTCTGTCTTTGTTTTTGTTTTTTTCTTTTATTCCATTTGTACACATCCACCTCTTTGCCATTAAGTCACAACATTTTATCAAAATATACAAACAGCACAGATACTTTAAAAACACATATTTAGAATTTTCTAATTCAACGCGATTGACCACTGCCAGTAGCAGGTGCGGGGCATTTGTCTTGAATGATGCCTCAGGAGGGGTTTATGAGTCATCAACTCGTCAATCATGGTATGACCAGGGGTTGGTTTTCTTTCCTCTCCGAAGAATTACGCACTTTTTCTTTTCTTGTTATAATGCGAGGACGGTAATGAATGACCGGGCTACTATGGAAGTCAAAGAGCAATGGATGGATGGAGGGAAAGGTTTTCCTGCCAAGAGTGAAGTGACACTATCTTGGTTGAACTCTACATTTGAGGTCTCTCTTGACAAGAGAACCAGCGTAAGGTGTTCTAGCCAAACTTCCCAATTGGGGAAGCTTTTCCCATCTTTCCATTTCTCCTCTTTCCCGGGAATTTCACGGCTAATGAGAATGAATGGATTTGTGAATCTCAAGTTACAAGCTATGTTTATTGTGAAGAATTCCCATAAAAACCTATTTGGGGCTGTCCCCCCTAGCCACTTACACGTCCACAGATAGAAACAGGATAAAACGGGTGAGCGGTTACTTGTCCGAGGCCACGTGGGACGGGCCACCCCGTACGCCAGGCTGTTGCAGTCTGGAGGCATCTGTTTTCAGTTTGCTCCTCCGTCTGCAGAGCCTGTCACTACCCGGCAGTTGGGGCCCCAGGTGAAGAGCCACCGTTGAGAGCCGTGTCGAGTTTTCGAATTTCCCAGTGCGGGGAACCAGGGTTCAAGTAAACGGCTAGGGTGAGTCTCGGCCTGACCTGGGGAGTGTCCGGGGAACGTGGCGGGAGCCACGACGCAGGGCGTGGTCATTAGTGAAGTAGAGTTGGTTTCTGCTACAGGTGAACGGTCTGGCCAGGAGGTAACGGGTCTCAGCCTTCATTGTTGAGTGTTTTCTGTTCTTTCCCAAATTGAAAAGGGAATCCCGGCTTCCAGTCCCCGGGGGAGGCCAGGTTCAGGAGATGAGCGGCTCCATGCCCGGGTTGACGAAGGAAAAGTTCCTGAACATGTTCTGGTCCATGCTGTTGATCAGGGCTCGGTCCGCAAACGACAGCCGGGGCTTCTCGTTTAAGAATTCCTTGTCGAAGTTGCTGCAGTCGTATGGGGATTTCTTGGTCACGGGGCAAAGGGAGGAAAAAGAGAGAGAGAGAGAGAGAGAGAGAGAGAGAGAGAGAGAGAGAGAGAGAGAGAGAGAAGAGAAGAAAATGAGCCGTTAAATTCATGATCGTAACTTTTGGCATCTAGGCTCTGATCTGTGGACCAGAGTTGCTGTTTGCAGATAAACTAAGCATCTGCCTTTCCTGCTGTAGGCTCGTGACTTTGGCTAGCAAGCCTGTCCTTGGGAATTTAGAGATCTATCTTTTTCTAAGCACTGATTTATCTATTTTTTTTCCCTTAAGCCAAAGAACACCTGACCGTTGCCATTAGGGGAGGTAGTTGCAGGAACGCATCACAGATGATGTAATTGAACTTTAATAAATAGCATTTAAAAACGGCGCCGGAACTCCTGACATAGGATGCAGGGTTTATGCACAAGCTTGGGTCACCCCGACGGTGCCCATGAAGCATGTATGTGCCACCTGCAAACCTCCGTGTCATCTGACGGTCACCCTCACAGACACGCATTTGACCTAAGGCAGGTGCACGCGGCATTCCTTGTGCAGCTGCGTCCTTACTACAGAGCTTAAATTTCCTAAACAGGAGTGACCTCCCCACCTCCCCACCAGCAGCCCAGTAGCCCATATGAGCCGGAGGGTGGGGCAGGGTGGAGGCAGGCAGATGGCTAAACCGAGGCCCCCAGGGCAAAGTCCTTACCACTTTAGGCCGGAAAGGTGGGTCAATCTCCTTCCGCTCCAGTTCTTCCCAGTTGATCTCCCGGAACAAAGGGTGCTGGCGGATGTCTCCCCGCACCCCCAGCCTCTTCTCGGGTTCTCGCACGAAGAGCTGGAAGAAGAGCAGAGAAGCACGTTACTTCCCCTGGGGAAAGCTGGCTGGCCTCCCTAGCGCGCTAACCCACGGGTTTCCTGACCTCCTGAGAGACCCTCCCCACAGCCCACTCCCATCTCCTCCTCCTCCTCCTCTTTACATCCTGCCTTATCTTTCACTCCTCCTTCTCTACGAAGCTTTCTTTGATTACCTCCGGGGACAGTGAGCTCACTCTTGCTCCTCTCCAGGTGATAGTCAGGGTCCTATGATTGATGGCATCGTTCGCCCCACCCAGCGTTCTTTGAGAGTCAGGCACTGTGCCAGGTGCCTCGGCCAGATCATCCTGGCTTTAAAAACAGATTCTAAAGGCAGGTATCATTATCCCAATGGCCAGCGGAGGAAACCGAGGCTCAGAGTGGCTGTGTAACTTGCTCAAGAGCATAATCTGGCCAGCGGTGGAGGGAAGAGGCTCCTTCCCACTTCTCCCAGTGGGTGGTCTCTCCTCTGTGCCTTCCAAGGTCCTCCCTCCATTACAGAAATCAGCACATTGGATCTTTCTTAGCGTCTTGTTTTTCTTACTACACTGTAAGCTCTGGAGGTCAGACACCATTTCTTTTCTTTTTTAAAAAAACAATTTCAGAATAAATAAAATGTACAGGGGTGCAGACATTTTAGTTACGTCAATTGCTTTTGTACCATTTGAGTCAAAGTTATAAGTGTGCCCGTCCCCCAGATAGTGCGCATTGTACCCGTAAGGTGTGAATTCTCCCATCCCCTCCTCCCCGCTCCCACCTGCCCAACACCGGGTGAATGTTAGTTACTTCCATATGTGCACGTAAGTGTTGATCGATTTGATCGATTAATTCCGATTTGATGGCGGGTCCATGTGGTGCTTGTTTTTCCATTCTTGGGATGCTTCACCTGGAAGAATGGGCTCCAGCTCCATCCGAGACAGTACAAGAGGTGCTAGATCACCGTTGTTTTTTGTGGCTGAGTAGAACTCCCTGGTACACATATACCGCATTTTATTAATCCACTCATGTATTGATGGGCTCTTGGGTGGTTTCCACATCTTTGCAACTGTGAATTGTGCTGCTATAAACATTCGAGTGCAGGTGCCTTTTTTTTATAGAATATATATATATATATTTTGTCCTTTGGGTAAATACCCAGTAGTGGGATTGCTGGATCAAATGGTAGGTCTACTTCGAGTTCTGTTTCTTACAGAATCCAGCCCAGTGCCAGGCGCTCTGCAGATACTCGTGAATGTCTGTGGAGTAAGGGAGCAAGCCGTCCTTCCTCTTTATCTTCGGGTCACGAGTCTTCAGTTCTCATCTTCCCCCGGCCTCTTGTTTTCCGCATAGCGACGAGGCACCAAGCTCGCAGTAAGATATTTCTCTGGAGAGCCCCAGACCCGTGCTAGTCGAAGGACGGAAACGCAGATCGGGTCTTTCAGAAGCGGAGGGAACGATGATGATAAGCGATCAACCTCCATTTCTCAGGCACATTGTGATGCCACGAGGCTAGATAGAAGGTGTAAGAGTCTCCGGAACAGGCCGGAAACTAGCTCCTGTGGTTCTACTGAAAAGTTTCAGGAAGTTTAAGTTAGAAGTGAGTGCCTCGGGCCAAGTAAGCACCATGCTGGGTTTTCCGCGAGATTTCCATGCCCAGGTGGCGTTTGTACCAACGGGATCGTGACAAAGAGCCTTCTGGGCTTAGACTGTGACATTTTAAAAAGTATATTTTAAAAAAATGTATCATGAGAAGATAATATGGCTTCCACTAACGAAGGTTCGATATTCTTTCTAGCTTTGCACGGAACAGTAAATTACTAGGTTCTCTTCCCCGAGGCCGGTCAACCCACAGAGATTTAGGAGGCGACTAGTGACCTCAGGGGAGGCCCAGGCTGGTGGCTTCGTGGCAGGAAGGCTGCACAAAGGAAATAAAATTCCTGAAGACAGACTTGCTCTTGTCCATAAAAAAAAAGCTGTCAGGAGGATGGTTTACATTTATAGGAAATAAATGGCTAGGATGCCGCAGGAGTTTGTTTGAATTTTTTTTTGGACAGTCTGGGCAAGCAAACAGTTCCGGATTGTGGAGGAGGACCACCGGTGACCGCTGACAGATCGCCCCTGGAATCTGCCTTCCCTCTGCTTGTCCCAGACATGTCCTTCCATCAAAGGGAGAGGTGTTTCTGTTTGAGATTATCAGTCTTCTGTCATTTTCAAACAAACGGACAGCACATCCTGGACGAATAAACGAGGAAGAGAAGAGTGTTTCTTTGGCAATGCGGTGGCGTCCCAGCTGTCATTCCTGATGGAGCACAGCCTGCCCCGACGTGCAAATTGTTCGGCGCGCTGCACGCACCCGTGTGCCGGGAGGGCAAACGGGGACAGAGGCCGGCACGGATGCTGTAACAGATGCCACCAAATGCTGCTCTGTCCAGCTTTTCCAGTGGCCCTACGGATTCTGGGTTTCACGGCATTTTGTCAAGTTCCCTAGAGAAAAATGTCTGAAAAACAGCATTACCTTTGTTTTTTTTTTGCAGAAAATAGGTCTGTGGGCACTGTCGGATGAAAACAAATGAGGAATCAAGATGAAAACTGGAAGCCAGTCTTAGGGGCGACAGACCGCACAATGGAAACGAATTCTTATCAGCCCAAGCGTAAGAATATGTGCAAGAAAAAGGACCGTGGAATTTTTACTCACTCAACGTGGGAAATAATAAGCCCAAACTCTCCTATGTGGATTTAAAAGCCTCTTTCACCCACGAGTCCTTTTGCTCACTTCTTTATCCTTAATGGCCCTGGTTTCTGCTCTAGTCAATCAAACTCACTTTCTACTCTTGCAGGAAGTAGAAGAAGGTCCTTTCTCCTGACGCCGAAACTCTGCAGGCGACTTTGTATTAATTTACTTATTTTTTTTGGTATTCGCATGTCATGTAGCCTCAGATTTAGTTTTGTTCTGAAACTTTTTTATTTTAAAATAATGATATCAATAGATTCACAGGACATTGGAAAGATGGTACAGACATGTCCTGAGAGCTCTTCACCCCTCTCTCTCCCGAGGGTTCCGTCTCATGTGATAGCACAAAGTCAAAACCAGGAGCTGGCACTGGTACAATGTGTGTGTGTGTGTGTGTGTGTGTGTGTGTGTGTGAACTAGTTGTGCCATTTTATCACTTGTGCAGATCTGGGCAACCCCCGGGACAAGTCAGAACGGAACCGCTCCATCACCGCAGAGATCTGTCTTGTGCTACCTGCCCTCCCGTCCCTGACGACCCAACCCCTGGCAACCGCCAGCCTGGTTTCCATCTCTGCAGCTTTGTCGTTTCACCCATGTTGGGTGAACGGACGCACAGACATGGATCTTTTGAGATCGACTTTTTGCATTCAACATAACGCCCTTGAGATCCTTCCGAGTTGTTTTGGGCATCGACAGTTCGTTCCTTTTTGTTGCAGGTTAGGGCTCCATGCTCGCAGCTTTTCGGCTCTTTCTCCTCCGACGGGAAGTGATCCCTGCCTCCTACCCAACCTTCCTCTCCTTTGAAGGCATCACTCCCACCTTCTCTCCCCCGGGGTTACATCCGGTGAGCTCCTGCGGACCTCCGCCACCCCTCCACTCTCAGCCTGAAGCTGGCCCGGATCCTGGGCTGGAGCTGGGCGTGTGGGGGGCACAGCGTGGGAAGGCTGGTTTTAGGGGACGTCACCAGGTGTGTGTGGGGGGGGATTGCACCTGCAGCTCCAGGGGCTCCAGCCCGTGGTGGTGACTCACCTGGGCAGAGCCCTGAGTCTGAAGGTGCCCTCGGCCCTCTGAAGGTACAGACCAAGTCTCCTCTTCGTTTCTTTTTCTACAGGGTTTTGTTGGCCCAGGCTCCTGCATGCAACCCTCCTGCTATGGACTGAATTGTTTGTGTCCCTTCAGAATTCACAACACAATTGTAGAGAGGGCCTTCAGGGAGATAATTAAGGTTAAATGAGGTCACAAGGGTGTGTCCCTGAAATATTGTGGAAATTTGTTTCTTAGAGGATTTGAAGAAAGATAAATGATGAAGTGTGGTCTGTACTGATGCTGTCCTATGTTCTCTTTTTACTTTTTTTGAGAGAGTCTCACTCTGTTGCTTGGGCTAGAGTGCCGTGGCGTCCTAGCTCACAGCAACCTCAGACTCCTGGGCTCAAGCGATCCTCCTGCCTCAGCCTCCCCAGTAGCTGAGACTACAGGCATGCACCACCATGCCCAGATAATTTTTTCTATATATATATATTTTTAGTTGGCCAATTAATTTCTATTTTTAGTAGAGACGGGGTCTCCTCGCTCTTGCTCAGGCTGGTCTGGAACTCCTGACCTTGAGCGATCTGCCCGCCTCGGCCTCCCAGAGTGCTAGGATTACAGGCGTGAGCCACCGCGCCCGGGGGGCCAATGTCTGTGGTTTCACCCGCCCAGTCGGTGGGATCCTGTACGGCGGCTGGAGCCAACTAACACACCTCACCTTGAGTCCTTCCCAAAGCCAAAGTGTAAAATGAACGGAGCGGTTGCAACAGTGTTTGAACTTGCCTTAATGTCAGGCGAAACTGTTTACGTTCAGCTCCCACAGTAACTTAGTTTTACCATTGCCATCTTCTTTTTATTGGTTAATTCTGAAATTAGCTTTCATTTTATGTGTTTTGTTTAGTCATTACAAGTGAATGTAATTGGCCGTCAAGGGAGGTTTCCGAGTTTATTGCCTGTTTGGCTCACAGTCAGAAAGCGAACGCCGAAGGGAACAGGCTCGGATTTTTAAATGCCTCATTTCGTTACCCCTGGACCCAGAGCTCGGTCAGCACTTCTCAGATTCATGGTCTTCATTCCCCAGGGACGGAGCTCTGCAGTTGCCTCAAAATCCCTTACGCCCTAGACAAGCCGGCACGGTTATCAGAGAGGTGGAAGTGTATTCCTTTCTAATTTAATTCCAAGTAGTTCTTCAAGAGGAAAAAAAAAAAGCAGACTAGTGAAAAAAAGATAAGCCTGCAAATATTTTTCTAAGTTCCTACTTAAAACCAACTGGTAGCTTCTATCCCGTTTCTCCATTTTCCATATAGCAAGATCAAGGCCTGAAATTATTTCCCTAGATGATGATTTCTTTAACCAGCTGACATGTGAGACCCTAAAAATCGAAAACGGCGTTTCTTCGCAAACGCCTGTATTCTCGGTCCACTTCCTTTAGATCTGCTAGACTCTTGGTCACACGGGCGGGTCTCATTGATGCAAATATTTGCTGGGACAGCTCAGGTAATGCAAGTCCTTATTGTGTTCTCATATGTATTTAGCATGTTGTATGCACGTGATGCATTTTTCATTTTGCAACTGGCTGCACGCACACGCTGTGGATAGCATTTTGCCTCCTCAAGAAAGGCAAGCAGGAGCTCTGTCTGAAGTCCCCGCCTTTCTCGGCGGCTCTCAGCTGTTCTCACACCCGCGCCTTGGCCGGTGGCGCTCCTGGCTCGCGGCCGGCGATTCTCAGAGCCTGGTGTCCGCCTGTAGTGCACGCGCCGGTTCTCAGTGCGCCCAGGCCGTCGTGGATTCGGCGCTGACCTCTGCTTTGACGGTGAATTCTGGAGACTGCTGCTACGACGGCAACAGCCTGCGCTCTCCCAGTTTGTTAGGGCGAAGAAATCGACAATATGTCCCATGCACAATGGGCAGGGCATGGGGGGGGGGAACAGCGTTTTAAGCACAGTTGACCCACGGACGACATGGGCGTGAGTGTGCGGTCCACTTACATGCAGATCCTTTTCAATAAAAGTCACGCCGAGTGCACCTGCCTCCTCCCTTCCACCTCCCCCACCCCTCCCACCTCTGCCACCCCTGAGACACCAAGACCCCATCCTCTTCCTTAGCCTACTCAACGTGAAGATGACGAGGACGAAGGCCTTTATGATGATCCACTTCCATTTAACGAAGAGTAAATATCTGTCCTCCCCCTTATGGTTTTCTTAATAACGCTTTCTTTTCTCTAGCTCGCTTTATTGTAAGAATATAGCTCATAGCATATATAACATAAAAATATGTGCTAATCAACTATTTATGTCAGGTGTCCTCAAATTATGGCCCGAGGGTGACATTTGGGCCACCTAGCACATGTATCCGGCCCGCTGGGTATTTTTGCCGCCGCTGCCTGTCCTGCTCAGCAGCCGACTAGCCCCGGGCCCACAGCGCGCATGTGTGGAATGTGCGCCGTGCTCTCCAACGGCCCTCCAACAGTCTGAGGGACAGGGGACTCGCCCCCTGTTTAAAAAGTTTGAGGACCCCTGATTTATGTTATGGTAAGGTTTCCAGTCAACAGGTTATTAGTAATTAAGTTTTTTTGGGGGGGGGTCAAAAGTTATATGCAGCTTTTTGACTGTGCAGGGGGTCGCTGCCCCTACTTGAGTTGTTCAAGGGTCAGCTGTGCTGCACAAATCGATCAGCTGCACAGACAGCGGGAAGGTGCGTTGCTGAATCAGTTTTGATGCCATGCATAGGCGAGGGGATGCATTGAGCAGCCTGTATCTCAAGGGTTTTAGCCAGAAATGGCCCCAGAGATAGTATTTCTGCAGAACATGCCGGGGTACCTTGCTACGCTCCCCACTTTGACCGCCCTGCAGATTCAGAGTGTGAGGCTGCCCTGCCACCTAAGGACAGTTGTTTCTGCTTCTCTCTCCTTCCTCTCTCTGCTTCCGCCTGGTATGGTGGGAGGCAGAGACCCAAGAGTTGGAGAGGAAGGGAGCAAGGACAGGGTCACTGGGACACGCCTGCCCTCCCTTCTGCAAGGGTGAGCCTCTGGCAACCTCGAACTCTGCCCCGAGGAAAAGGGGCCAGAAGTCCTAGCTTTAACGCTGAGACGGATGCGATGACTATTATCCTGGACTTGGTGGCTTTAGTTTCTCAGCTGAGACTGTACTTTATGACTTCAGAGAGACAACGGGTTTGCCTTTTACCTAAGAGTAGGCAGAAGAGTCATGCATCCTGTCCAGGTTTCCAACTACGGGCAGGAAGATGAGCTGGGCTGAATATTTTTTAATAGCGAGCACGGGAGGTGAAAGTCCGAGTTCTAAGCCACAAACAGGGCTTGTTCCATGGACCAGCTACACCTCCAAGGGAGCGTATGCAAGCGTCACGGAATTGGTTCCCGGGCACTTCTTTTACGCCCAGTGATACACGTGGGCGTTTGTCGTACACTCATCTGATGTGCATCATATTGGCGCCCACTTTACACGGAGACCCTTGTGTCCCATTTAAGCCCGGTTCAGTGCAACCATCGTTTACCGCGCCTAAGTCAGAGTCCAGAAAGGAAAGGGATGCTGCCCAGACACCCGAAGGTTCACCCCATTCCCCGACCTCCTTCCTTACCTTCACCAAAAGGTCCTTGGCCTCCTTCTCCAGCCAGCGCGGGTAGAAGGGGCTGTCCATGCGGATGGAGTGGAAGAGCTCCTCCTCGTCCTGCCCGTGGAAGGGCGACTGCCCGATGAGCATCTCGTACAGCAGAACGCCGAAGGACCACCAGTCCACGGAGTGGTTGTATTTCTGACCCAGCAGGATCTGCGAAACCGAGAGGCAGAGACAGAGGGCAGGGCAGTGAGGTTGCCGACGTCCCTCTGGACCCCTCAAGGCCACTCTGCGAGTAATCGGCGGTGACAACTTCCCTGGTTTTGGCAAAGATCACCCTTCAGAAGACCGGATCTTCCGACAAGCTGATGACTGGATGGGACTGACTTACGGGCTGACGTCAGCGTTATACCCATTTTACAGAGGAGGAAAAGGGCGTCAGTGAGACTTTGGCAGCTTGGAAACCTCAATCGAGTCTTGGAGGCCACAGGTACGCCACTTGGCCTAGGTGGATATTTGCTTCTACCTGGCTCCTCGCCGGTGGCTCCTTGCCGGTGGCTCTGAGCACAGTGAGTGTATTTTAGGGCTAGGGAGTGGGTCAGAGCCTTGACCCAAAGGGATGGCCGGACCGTCCGAGCCTTGGAGAGCTGGAACCAGCGAGAGTGGCATCCCCATACGGCGACAGCAGCCACAGGTGCATTGACCGAACACTTAGGAAATCAACAAGTACAAATCTTGGACCAGGAGACTCAGAACCCTCTGGTTTTCAGGGGAGGAAGCAGCGGCGGCGGGCAGGGCAGCCCGGGGGTGTGCCCAGCGAGCGGGGAAGGGGCGCGGGGCCCTGGGGGGGGCGGCGCGTCCTACCTCGGGGGCGATGTAGTCCGGCGTCCCGCAGAAGGTGTTCGTCTTCGCGTCTCCCAGCATGTTCTCCTTGCACATCCCGAAGTCCGCTATCTTGATGTGTCCGTCTTTGTCCAGCAGGATGTTGTCCAGCTTCAGGTCCCTGGAAAGCAAAAGCAAAGAGCAACATCTCACTGTCCCAGGCACGCTTGGGAGGCCGCATGGGAAATGCAACTCACAACAGGGACGCGCGCGCGGCCCCGGTGTCTGGCGGCTCCGCCCCCTCCGCTCCAGCGTGGTGGTGAGGCCTCGCTCCTGCTTGTGCAAAAGTTCTCGTGGCTTTTTTTTTTATGTGACTTGTCGTCAATATGCACACTCTTCTGAAGTCCCCATCACCGTTTCGTCTGTCTCCCTGGTTCAGCTGGGAATGTGTGTTGATGTAATTAGACAGTTGCTGCATCGCGACTGCTTTTACAACAGCACGGCACACGCTGTCAGTGTGCGTCGCATGAGCTCACTACCGGCCAGTGATTGTCAGTTCCCGTTTGTTCGTTCCCTTTTGTTGTTTTCCCCACCTTCTGCGAGAGCAGGTTGGCCAGGGAGACGGGCAGTGCAACACGGCTGTTTTGCTGGGGTGGAGACGACTAGCAGACATACCCAACCAGACGCTGCACCACCGGCAGCATCTGTCTAACTGGGAGGCCCGGGGTACGTTCCTATCCATGGCGGTTCTGTTTTTCTCTCATCCTAACTCAAATGCTGCCATGCTTTCACTAGCAGGACTGAAGATGTGCTATATGCCTAAGCCCTCTCACGAGACAGTGCCAGCCGTCTTCTGTCTCCCCATCTTTCACTGGAATTAAACCCACAGCTTCATTGCAACGCATACATGCTACTGTGTCCCCTCATAGGCTATATTCAACTCTTTATGCTAACATTTGAGGTCCGTCATCAAATCTACATGCTATGCCAGATTGATATCATGTTGAGTTTCAGTATGATATCATCATATTGATGTCATTTAGAGCATGTACATATGCTTCTAGAAAATTTGGCTGAAGGACAGTTTTGGGGGTCATATCTAAGGAGCCAGATATCTGCAGGGCTACACAAAGATCATGAAAACGAATGAACAGAGTGTAGATTGTTTGCACTGGGTTTTCTTGCTTGCATGTGCATTTTATGATTTGATTCTCACAACAGCCCTTGGATCTGAAGTTGTCATTATTTTCACTCATAGTTTTCCCGATGGAAAACCAAAGACTCATGGAGGTGATAGGAGCTATGCCGGCCCACACGGCCAGCCAGCGGCGAGGATGCACACCCCATCTTCATCTTCTCTTCCATCCCTTTATACCAGCCTGGCCTGGCCTTTCCCATCGAACGAGTCTTGCCGAGATATACAAAGCAGCATTCTAACTGATTCTAAAACTAAGTGTTTTCTGGGCCTCAGGCTAGGAAAAATAAGACTGGTGTCAAATTTTCAATCCACCCTCTACGGCAAGCCAGATGTGTTCCGGGTCATGAGAGAGAAGGTCACTGAAGCTTTGAGAGATCTACGCCGGGTCAGGAAAGGTCCAGAAAGGCTGCCCTGCAAGCCAGACCTCCATGGGGTCAGGACGAAGGGCAGAGGAGGACCAGCGAGGGTTCCTACAGCCGACTGGAGGTGCCACAGAGCCGGAAGACCCAGAATGTTCTGCAGCACCTCACGCCCATGCTCTACAGGATGTCAGGACCCAGAGAAGGACTGCAGAGCCCAAGGCTCCCAGCCTGTCTCTGCGAGCACCCATCTGCTCAAGGGGCAGCCCCTCAGGGCGTCCAATACGACAGAAAGTAAGTGGAAGCCGTTCATTCAGTTGTGTGGTCCACAGGAGCAAAGCTTTTCCATTCGGAAGGGGCGGAGCGGAAGTCAAACTGGCTTCAGAGTCCCGGCTTCCTGGCTGGCCGGCTTCGAGATGCCATTTCCGCTCTCCGAGCCTCCGGTTATTCCTCCGCAAAACAACGGAGGCGATGACACCTGCCCGGCTCCTCTCGCCAGACCCCGGGACGGGGAATGACACAATCCACGTGAAAGCATCGGAAGTGGCTTCGAATATGTGGGTTGGGTCCAGTCTTATCTCCACAAAATACAACCTTAAGCTCATTTTCCGTTCTAGTAGTCTCAGATTTGAGGTTCTAGAGTCTTCTCTTACCACGTCTGCATGTGCTCCAGCTCCTTGTTTCTACATTGACCCCAAACCAAGGGATGTGACATCTTACAAGATGTCACTGCTTTTGTGGTTCCATCAGCAGATGGCGAACAATGATGATGCCACCACCTGCTGCTCTATGATCCCTGTCTTTGTGCAACGGTTGCCTGGCCACTAAATCCTGACGAATTAGTTTAACCTTCCTGCACTTGACCTCCGCATTCCTACTGCTGTGCCTTTGCTGGAGTCACTTCTTCCACCTGAAAAGCCACAGGGGCTGGAAGTGGCGGGGAAAGGGGACTTTGGTGGGGACAGGGCCCCTCTGACACCTTAGGTTCAGACTTCTGGCTTCCAGAACCGTGATAGATGAAGTTTCTGTTTTTTAAGTCACCAAGTTTATGGTAATTTCTTATGGCAACCCTTCAAAACTATTATAATATACCAGTTCTATGAACCAACCCAGAAAATTATGATCAGTGGTCAAAAGAAGGAAACAAATAGAATCCCCTTGTTTATTCAGTTGCCAAATTAAAAGTTTAGGTAAGTCAGATTACACATGAGCAGTTGAAGAATTTCTTATGGCCAATCTCAATGTAAACAAACATGCTTGTCTGACAACCTACTGCTCTATTGTAATTATTTGATGATGTCTTTCCAGGGCCTCCTAAATGAACCTAAACGAGCCTAAATGAACCCAGTTTTCTTTCTTATTGGTGCACGAGATGCCCTAAAGAACATGAGTTCCATGCATGGACAGAGTAAGAGCTCTGAAATGGATGCAGTCTGTTTGTGATATTAAAGCTACTTATGGGCTTTTATTGGCCTTTTTGCTCAGACTGTTAATAAGTTACAAGGTGACAAGATAGAGAGAAACACTGTGACGTGGAGAAACAGACAATACCCAGGCATGCAGGTTTGGGTTTCAGCTCTAAGGTCTCTGTGTCTCACCAACCTTCCTGACTTTTCCCCTGTCTCCCAACTGTCTGTCCATCTATCCACCCATCTAGCTATCCCCCAACCATCATTCATCATCCATCCATCCATCCATCATCCATTTATTTATCATCATCTATTCATCCATCCATCATAAATCTGTCCATCTGTCCATCTATCCATCATCTATCCATCCATCCGTCCATCATCCATTCATCTGTCCATCCATCATCTATCCATCCATCCATCCACCATCCATCCCGAATCCATCTGTCCATCCATCCATGATCCATCCATCCATCTATCCATCCTACATGATCTACTCAGTGCCCAAGTATAGGCATATTTTAGATATATTGCAGACCTTACAGATAGAAAGAGAAATGTTGAAAGGAAGCACAGATTCTGTTGGGGGTTTTCAAATAGTATTTCTTGATTTCCTGAAGATTAAAAAATAATATAAAACAACTCCTTAGTCTATTATTTTGTAGATGGACCCAAAATATCTGTATTCAAAGATCCTGCCTAAGAAGACTACCTTCCCAAGCGTCCCCTAACCCTTTAGTCCTGTGACTCCAAATATGGCAACCCTCACTTGGACGCACCTCTGGAAATTTACAGCAGCACAATTCACAATTGCCCAGGTGTGGAAACAACCCAGTGCCCATCAATACATGAGTGGATTAACAGAATGTGGTACATGTATATGTACCATGGAGTACTACTCAGCCACACAAAAGCAGTGGTGATCTAGCATCTTTTGTATTATCCTGGATGGAGCTGGAGCCCATTCTCCAAGCTTAAGTGTCACAAGAATGGAAAAACAAGCACCACATGTACTCACCATGAAACTGGTACTAATCGATCAACATTTATGTGCACATATTGGAAGTAACATTCATCAGGTGTCAGGCAAGTGGGAGAGGGAGGAGGGGATGGGCATACACACACCTAATGGGTGCGGTGTGCACTGTCTGGGGGATGGACACGCTTCAAGCTCTGACTCAGGTGGGGCAAGGGCAATATATGAAACCTAAACATTTGTACTCCCGTAATATGCTGAAAAAAATTCATCATCCATGTGATCGATCACTGTGGGCAGGAGGCATGGGTGTGGAACTTTCTACCTCAAAAGCACACTGGCCACGACATTTCACTAACGTGTGGCGATCGAATGAACTGGACCAGGGAATCCCGTATCTTAGCATTTGTTTCCAAAGAGCAGAGTGTACCTGTAGACGATTCCCTTGGAGTGGAGGAACTGCAGACCGAGAATGATTTCGGCAGCATAAAACCTGCGGGAAGAGAACAAGGTTCAAGGTGAACGCAGTCACCGAACAAAATAACATCCCCAGACCGGGCTGATGTCTTGCGTCTGTGCAGTGCCCGGCTAAATGGCGCACGCACATGATTTTGTTTAATCATAATGAGGAAAATCTCATCCATTCGTTCTGCACAGAAGAAGGTGGAGACTCAGACACCCCCAAGCTTGGCCCTGAGGGTGTGAAACAGCAGGCATCTTACTCGGGTCCCACCTGTACTTGCAGCTTATTCTTACATTTTAAACCGCATTGCTCACATTGGCAATTTCTGCTAATAAAACATGCACGAACATTCGACGTAATGATATAGTGTCACAAGCAAATAATTTCCCCCTTTTTATTTTCAGCTCTGCTTGGCGCCCTCAGACCTGTATGTAGGCTGAGCCATTCGAAACAGATCCGGCTTGGTTTATTTGCACACTGACAACCTTTAGCCTGGGTGAAAAAATACAGCCCGGCAGGCAGAAGAAAGGGCTATCGGAAGATGCAAGATGGTAAGTTACTCTTCATCTTCACTGGCGACGGGCTCGCAGGGGATGAGATTACGCTGTCACGAGTGTGATTGAGGTCAGATAGAAGAGGGAGTTTCCTGGCCGGGAGATTTGTTGGATCTCAGAGACAAATGCAAAATCCTCCCCCCTGGAAGGCATTTAGGGTACACTAGATAGCGCGTGTCGAAGCAGGCTGCGGCCGGTGGCGGGCTGAGGGGATCTTTTCTGGCATGAAAAATGCCCTGTGACTGCTGCAGAAATCTGATGAAATTCTCTCTGGGTGCTTGGCCGAGGAGTGTCCCGGAGGCAGCCAGACCAGCAGAGAGTGCTGCCCGCTAGATTCGACAGAACAGCCGCTTCAGCCAGGGCTTTGCAGGAGCTAGGGGTGGACCAAGTCCATCTTTTGACGTAGGTCGACCTAAGCCACTCGAAGTGCTGCTGCAGAGGGGGATGACCGGACATCAAACCAAGGATGCTGGCGTGTGCCCGTCGTTTATAAGTGAGCCGGTCGCACAGGTTTCTTTTGCTTGAGGGTCTCGGGAAGCAGGAAGTCGGGCCCACGGGGAAACAGCGTGGGAAAGGGCGGTGGGTATGTGGGCTCAGCTGCGGTCCTGCCAGGTAAACGCGGCCTGTCCCATCTCACCTGTGTCTGGGGCTGCTGGATGCCAGAGCAGGTGAAGATTTATCCGCCAATAGAGTCAGTGCCTCTCCAGTTGCCTCATTTTCATGCCCCAGGAGCTAAACGCTTTATGCCTCCACATTGAACTTCCCGTGAAAGCTTCACCCCCCGGGGCCACCTGTACGCTGCGCGTTCCATGGGCAGGTGAGCCTGATGCCTCGGGGGCGCTTCCTTAAGAAACCACCGTGTTTCCCCGAAAATAAGACAAGGTCTTATATTTATTTTTCCTCAATAAGACACCCTAGGGCTTATTTTCAGGGGATGCGTAATTTTTTTTAAGTGTGGTACAACCATCTACATTTATTCAAATATACTTAAGTCATCTTCTTCTGGAACATCATCATCACTCTCCAGACCCCGAATCCCATCCTGAATGTCTTGCGACTCTATTTCCTTTAGAACCATCGGCCCCGATCTCTCATGTCGCGCCATAGAGCTCTCACGGGGCAGATGAGAAGGGCTGCTCGTCTTCTTTCCCGCTCCGCGACGACACGCGTGGGTTGTGCAGACGCGCTGCGCAGCCACGTCCGTCACCGGGGCTTATTTTCGGGGTGGGGCTTCTATCGCGCACATGCTTAGAAATCCTGCTGGGGCTTATTTTATGGGCAGGTCTTATTTTCAGGGAAACACGGTAAGTCGTTGATTTCAAGACACAGAGAAACAAAACTACACAGACCTGAACTTCAGTTTCACACACGGGGAAGACTATTGCCTGGTTTGATATATTTCCAAAGCGGGTAATACCTTGCCCTTGGCCTGGGATTTAGGCAGAAAAAAAATACTCCTGTGGGCATTGGATACACAGAGACTGCCAAGAATAATGAAAAAAAAAAAAACCCCAAACCCTTTACAAAGGGCTCTTACGTGGCTCTGGAGAGATCGAACTTGTGACAGCTTTGGATGTGGTACATTAAGTCTCCTCCGTTGAGATACTCCATCACAAAAAAGAGATTTTCCTAGGGGGAAAAAAAAACACAAAACAACCCCAACTTTTAGCTACTTAACAACAATGACAAAAACAACAACAACAAAATAAGCCACAAGAAAAAGACTACTTTCCAAATGGATCAGATCATTTCACACAACAACTGTACCCGGAAATCACTTATAAAAAAAAAAAAGACTGTCAAAATGATTTGGCGGGTCTGTATTTCTGCACCCCAGGGAACTTGGGGGATGGAGGTAGGATGGTGCTGGGCACTTGGCAGGTGCTGGACACACACCTGTTGGAACTGACCATGTGTAGGGCGGTAAAGAGGGTATGTTTTGGTCTCTGACTCCAGGGACCCCATTCACTCCACACTCAGGACATCACCAGTCCTGGGCGTAGCGTACGGGCGCGGCACGGCTCGGGGGGAGCGGGCGTGGCGTGCTCATTCCTGCCGGGGAACTTGCAATCAAGTTTGACCTTATTTTTCTCCGGTGCAGACTTCCCTGGTTGTGGAGGGCAGCCACAGTCTGCGAGGGTGTCGCTCCCCACAGAGGCCACCGTGCATGTCGTTAGAGTTTTTTCTAAAGGGTTCGAACGAATCACAGACCGAGTCATCCGTAAAGCGAGGAGACACCTGGCGCATCTGTGCGGGAATTTGCACCCGAGCACCTCACCTGGGGGCTGCTCAACAGAATGAACCTTTAAACCTCCAACGTGAGGCTGAGAGAGGCGGCGGGGTGTGGGGCGTGGGGCGTGGGGTGGCGAGGCTGTTCTGGCCCGACAGCAATATCCGTGCCATGGGGACCAGCAGGCACCGCGGCAGTTATCTCGACAATCCAGGTAAAGGTGAGCGTCCGCTCGCTTTCTCCAAAGTGGATCTCAGACCTAATTCCGTGTGTGTTTGACTGGAGCTCGCTGTCTTCTCTTTTGAACAGGCCCAAACTCTCAGCTGACACAAGTCACAGCTTCACGTCGTCATTTCAAACCTGATTTGAGAGTCCTCACTCGCCTCACCTGCGCATGCCCCGTTTTCTGGCCGACACCCCTCTCTAGTGCCTGTGCTCATGAGCACTGTAGCGAGAGCTTCTAGTCTATCCTTCGCCTTTCGACTCAGAACCATGCTGGCCATGTGGCAGCCACAGCGGCGGAATCTCCTCTTTTTCTTTTCTTTTCTTTTCTTTTTTTTTTTTGAGACAGAGTCTCGCTTTGTTGCCCAGGCTAGAGTGAGTGCCGTGGCATCAGCCTCGCTCACAGCAACCTCCAACTCCTGGGCTCAAGCCATCCTCCTGAGTAGCTGGGACAACAGGCATGTGCCACCATGCCAGGCTAATTTTTTCTATATATATCTTAGAAAAAATATGGCCAATTAATTTCTTTCTATTTATAGTAGAGACGGGGTCTCGCTCTTGCTCTCTTGCTCAGGTTGGTTTCAGAACTCGAGCAATACCACCCGCCTCGGCCTCCCAGAGTGCTAGGATCACAGGCGTGAGCCACCGCGCCCAGCCGGAATCTCCTCTTACGTACTCAAGAGAACAAAAGGTATCAAAGCGTACAGGAAGGCCATGCATGACAGTGCTCGGATGCATGGTTTCTCTTACGTGTTAGGATGCTTGCAAATTCCTGGAAAGGCTGAAGTTTTTGGAATTCACACACTGTCAGTTTGGACTTGGAAATAATAGTGGGGGGAGGAGTCTGGAGGTAAAGGTTCAACCCCACGTCACACGTTCCTCCCCCCAAGTCCCGTCTGTCCTCAGGGCCGAGACAGACTCCGCACCTGGCGGTGGGCGCTGGGGAGTCGAACCTGCCATGATGGGGTCCAGAAGTCACAGAGGAGAGAGAAAGAGCGAGGCATGCAACTTGGCATCGAGGAATGTATTATTTAAATGGGAAACAGAAAAGAAGTCTCGGAAAAGACCCGGCAAACCAGGAGCAAGACCAGCTTTCTGGGGCAAGTAAGCTGAGAAGCGGCAGGTGAGAGGCCGAGAGGACGTAGCACATCCGACAGCCAGGTGTGGCGGAGGTGGGTCCTGAGCAAGCTTCCGGACGAGGGAGAGAAGACGGATTCTCAGAGGAGAGGCACCTCGCTGAGACCCTCTCTCGAAGGAGATGCAAAAATCCTCCCGTCTCCTGGGAAGCTGGTGACAGTAATTCTGGGGCTTTGTGAAAAGAACAGCTGACAAAGGAACGGGGACTGACAGTGCAGGCCGGAGAGCCCTGAAGAAGACGTTAGAGTCGCGTAAAGGTGCGAACGCACCTGTGAGTTTGAAAAGCAGGTGTGCATTGCAGACACACCGGGCGTCTTCTTCTTATGGCCAGAGAATTCCTGAAAACTTGCTCATGAATTGCCCGTTCTGTCTCGTGTCTTTGCACGGAAAAACCTGACGCAAACGTGGCCAGTGTGACTTCCGTGTACTAGACATTTACTGTAAATCCACTAATTTTTGTCAGTTTGCGGTAAATCCAGCATCTGCCAAATCACTGCACAGCTGCAAAAGGGCATCTGAAGCACACAAGTGACCCCAATTTCTGAAAGCACAATGTGTGAGCATCCCTGGGATCAGAAAGCTGCTGGAGCACTTTAAAGAAAAGAGACTTATCTGTCACCACAAAAGGGGAATGACATAAAAAGTTAATTCTTGTCTTAGTGCAGGGAGAAGTCTTTTTGAGGATGTGGTTTCGGCGGTTTTTCTTTTCCTTGCTACAATTGTGATCATTTGCAGAGCTCCGAACTCAGCTGAAAGGTTCATGGATTGATGCATTTTTCTCTTCTTTTTTTTTTTTTTGAGAGAGAGAGCTTCAGGTGAGGCAGTTTCTGAATAAAATACTTGAAATCAGAAACTCTCTGGCAGTCTCAGATGGATTTTTGCCTTCAAACCATGGAAATACCAAAACTGACATACTTCTTAAAAAACTATCCAGTTAAAGTCATCTTCCTTTTTTACTTCAAAGTAAAAATAGTAAGATCTTGCAGTTGGTGTAGCACTTTCTCCACAAAAGATTCAAAGGTCTCTGCAAAGTGCTATTTTATTTATTTATTTTATTTATTTTACATTATCCTTTTGGAGGCAAAAAAAGGAGAACCAATGTCACAAGGAAATGTTGGGCGACTTGTTCACAGGAACTTGTCCCCTCAGGCCCAAAAGCCATCAGCGGAAGTGAAGCTCGGTGTGTTCTATAAATAGAAAGGGAAACTCAGTTTTCTTTTTTTTTATAAAAGAGAAATTTCAAAGTAATAGTGACCAAGAATGTTCAACTGGTTCCAGCTGGGAGTGTGGAGGTCAAGGGCAGTATGTCAGTCCATGGACGATGGCGCTAGGGCTCCCGACCCCAGGCTGGGGAGGGCGATTTAGAACCTCAGGAAACCGCAGCAGCTACCAACTTTCAAGGATCCAGAGAGTTCCGATAACCCGGGACGAACTCAGCAGAGTCTCACTCGGCGCTAGGTGAGTGCCGTGGCTCAGCAGCTCACAGCACCTCCAACTCCTGGGTCAAGCCATTCTCCTGCCCTCAGCTCCCGAGTAGCTGGGACTACAG